TCAAGCAATAGTGGTAAGCTATGAATTTAAACATTTCATTTGTTATGCATGATCCTATGAAGCATGTACTATATGCACTAACCACATACTAGTAAGAGATGAAATGATCATGCACATTACAATGATACCTTTGCTATGTTGGAGTAGAGGATAGTCGCATAGATTCTAATTCATTACTCCAATAGCAATGTGAAGTCTAATTATAAGCTTGGTGAAGACCAATAGACACCATTTTAAATTTCACTCTTCACCCATATGAAATGAATACCACTTATGATCAAGTGTACTTTCTTGTTGTGGTTGGCTTACTTTTTATTTTCATCTTTACTTGCGTGTGAGCATCAATTTGCGAATACTACTTGAAATATCATGACTAGATGTCTTTTGGGTGTTGCTTGCTTTTCTTGATCAACCCTTTTGATTGCTTCAACTAAGCATCTCAAATGTTCCTCGAATCACCACTTCCATGTTAGTCTTCCAAGTACCACACTTGGTTCACCTATACATAGGCGGCATGCCCCTACACTAGAGAGAAGTGACCTCTCTCCAAGAGCCATTCTTGACATTCACTTGAAATAACTTGATTGATAGATCCAAGTGATGGACTTAACTTGATGAGTAACCTTGATTCCTTCTTTAAGTCCTTTTTTTCTACTTGTTTAAGTCCTTTTCTTTCTACCAAATGATCTCCAATCATCACTTGAACTTAAACTTCATCTTCAACTCGAGTTTGATCTTGATTTTCATCTTGAGTACCAAAAGTATGCAAAGTACACTCCACAGTCAAATAGCCTTGTACTCATATCTTGTCATGCTTTTAGATCCTCTCAAAACCAACTTAGGTACCTAAATTACTCTTAAACATGTTTTTAATTTGAGGACCTTTCAATCAAAGTGACTCTAGATCAATCCAACATTTGTTACTTTTCTAGCAGATTATGTACCCTTCAAAGAAATAATCATATCTCCCAAAGTACAAATCTAAATACCACGAAATTTGGTGGAGATGTGCTTCACTTAGTTATATAGCAGCTATAAAAATTTGAGCTTCATTTGACTTCTAGATTGCTACCAGATTTCAATTATTCTACCACTGCTACATGCTGAAAACTGCTGCACTATAGCTGACAAGTTTCACTCTAAAACTGAGGCATCTCTTATCCAATTCTCATGAAATTTCTACATAATCTCATAACATAAGTCTAGAGCATGTACACCAATTTTTATGACAATCCAATAAATTTTGATCACTCAAACATGGCTAAGATCACAGCTAGCTCAGATTTTCAATATAGGACATATTTCAATCACTTGAGCTATATTTCATCAAGTATGAATCAAATTTGAAACCAACTTGTTTGAATACTTTCACAAGACATAAATCCATTCAATCCACTTACTAAATGTCATCTCATTAATTTATCCAACACAAATCAATCAAACTTGATTACTAATCCATTATCCATTCAATCAACTTATAGCAAGCAACTTTGCATATTTGTCCAATTCAATCAACTCATATGCACCCAAATAAAATGATCAACAAGAGTTATACCGTGCATAGTGTGTGCTATCAAAAATGTGTGTGTCACAAACAACTTCTAGCCCAAAGTTCGTCATCCTCTCGGGTCGGTGAAGACCACAAATGAGAGACCGGGCTCCGATACCACTTGTAGGGTCAAGATGGCGGACTAGAGGGCGGTGAATAGTCCTTTCTAAAATTAATCGTATCAGCTAACCGAAACAAGTGCGGAACTAAAACTATCGATCTAGCCAATACTACACCCCTCTATCTATATTCTTTAGCACCTTCCAAAGATACTAATAAAGCAACAAGGGTGTCGGGCTAGCTAGAGCTCACCTAACCAATTCTAGAAGCAAGGTCACACAAACCTATGCCACTAATACTTCAAGCAACAGGGGAGCTCCTACACAAGTTAGTAAGCAAAAGCACAAAGCCACCTAAGCTCACTAGCAATGCTCAATAACAAGGCAATCAATGCCAAATTAGTGAGCGCAAATACTTAGCTACACAAACTAAGCAATGTGACTAACAAGGTTACACAAACCAAATTAGTCACGCAAGGGAGCTACTTCTATGCTATACAAGCAAGAAGGTAACTAGAGAGCTACACTAGCTTAACTAGATACAAGAGCAACTACACAAGCATAATGTATATGAAAGTAATTACAAGCTTGTGTAACGAGGATGCAAACCAACTGGAAGAACAAGGTTGACACGGTAATTTTTCTCCCGAGGTTCACGTGCTTGCCAACACGCTAGTCCCCGTTGTGTCGACCGCTCACTTGGTGGTTCGATGGCTAATTGGCATCACCCGCCAAGCCCGCACGTCGGGCACCGCAAGAACCTACCCCGAAAGTGAGGGTAGCTCAATGACACGCTTTACTAGAGTTGCTCTTCGTGGCTTCCGCGGGGCGAGCACAATGCCCCTCACAAAGCTCTTCTTTAGAGCACTGCACAAGCTTCTTATGGGCTTCAACAGAGACCACCACCAAGCTGTCTAGGAAGTGGCAACCTCCAAGAGTAACAAGCACCACCGGCTTGCAACTCGATCACCTAGTGCCACTCGATGCAACCTCACGATGCAATCGCACTAGAATCACTCTCTCACACAATCGAATGATCACTATCAAGTAGATGTGAGATGGAGGGCTCCCAAGCACTACTACACAAGCCACCAAGGCTCTAATGTGCTCAGCTGCCGGCCCAAGGCTGACCATGGCTTCTATTTATAACCCCACGAACAAATAGAGCCGTTACCCCTTCACTGGGCAAAAGTCAGGCCGACCGGACGCTCTGGTCATGTAGACCGGACGCTGGACCTCAGCGTCTGGTCGCTCGATGATAGCCACATGTCACCTGCTTCAAATACAGTACGCCCGATCTCAACGGTCATAAGACGACCGGACGCAGCTACTCAAAGTGACCGAACGCAGCAACCCCAGTGTCCGATAGTTTCCAGTAAGGTACCAGCTGCGACCGGACGCGTCCGGTCGGTCACGATCGGACGTAGCATCAGCGCCCGGTCCTTCACCACCTTCTCTACATCGCCTACGTCACCATACGTCAGCCTGACCGGACGCACCCTACCAGCGTCTGGTCACCTCCAGTGCCAGCATCCGGTCGAAGACCGACGCCTGCACGCTCTTGGCCGCCACTGACCGGACGTAGGACCCCAGCGTCTGGTCACCACGTGACCAGTGTCCGGTCCACACTGTGAGTCCCTATCTTCTGTGCGTAGGGCGCCGGTGGCACCGTCGGACTGTCCACACTCTATGGGCGAACACTTCGCCGGTGGAGTTTCTAACCCTTCTCGCCTCCGTTTCATCACCGAGTTGATCCACATCAACTCTAACTTCATCTCCCTTGTAAATGTGCCAACACCACCAAGTGTACACCACTATGTGTATGTGTGTTAGCATTTTCACAATTATTTTCTAAAGGATTAGCCACTCAACTTGCCACGCCACTCAATCCTAACGACGTGAAAAGTTAGATCACTCGAGTGGCACTAGATGACCGATATGCAAACAAGTTTACCCCTCTTAATAGTACGACCATCTATCCTAAACCCGGTCATCAACTTCTCTACACACATATGACCGGTGAAATGAAATGCCCTAGATTATACCTTTGCCTTGCGCATTCCATTCCATCTCCTCCAATGTCGATGCAACACATGCACCAACATGATCAACAATGATATGATCCACTTCATATCATCACGTGATCATATTGGTTCATCGATCTTGACTTCATTTGCTTTTCACCGTTGCCTTCGTCCATCAGCGCCAAATCTTGCTCAAGCTTCACCACCACGCGCTCCATCGCTCCAAAGCCTCCGACTTGCCCTTCACGCTTGCAACCGGTTCATCAAGCCAAGTCTTGTCTTGATCTTCTCCACCTTGATCACATGACTCAATGTCATGTCTCATGTGCAATGAGCTCCTTCATCATCATATGTGTGAGCTTTGCAACATCTCCAAGCCATTTTCACCTTCATGGCATATGTTGCTCACACACATGTACCTGTGGACTAATCACCTGTGTATCTCACATAAACACAATTAGTCCATCTAGGTTGTCACTCAATTACTAAAACCATACAAGGACCTTTCAAGGAGGAGGTGGATGCCGCTGCCAGGATGACGGGTGGGCGGAGACACCGTAGGCGCTTCTTCGAGCAGAGGCGGTGGAGGCGGGTGCGTGGGAGAGCGCGCGGCGAGGGAAGGGCACATCCGCTCCTCCCGCGCGATCCTCCCCATCTCCTTAATCGCGTGGCCAGCAGAGGTTCTGGGTGGTCGGTTTTCAGCCGGCGCCTTCCGCGCCGCCTGCCCCACCAGCGCCTCCATCCCTCCCGCATCTCAGATTCCAGCACATGGGGAACCCATACCTACCTAGGGTTTGGGGAGGGGAGGTCAACGCGACGGAGGATCTCCGACGACGGAGGACAAAAACAGTGGGAAAAACGACGTCTGCGGGGTGGGGGCGGAGCTGGTGCGAGGCCGCGTCGTGGAGGGGCGTGATTGGGGGGAGATGGCCACGATATGTGACGGCGGGGGGAGGATGGAGGGGAGCGTGTGATGCGGTATCGCAAGGGGAAGGGCGGACCGACGGAGCGACGATTGTCGCACGAAACGGTGGTCTTACTTTCTTTACTTTCTTTATTTTTAGTTGTCGGAGATATAGAAGTGGACTGATGGTTGGAGTCGGGTGGGCCTGAAACTCAAGAAGCAGAATCGGTCCGGCCCAGGGCCAAAGATCCCAGCCCAGCCCAACCAAAGCATACCTCGAGTTGTAGGCAGAGAAACCCCCAAACCAAAGCAAACCCTCGCCGCGCCGCCGCCTTCCCTCGTCCCCTCGAGGCCTCGACGACTCCGACTCCGACTCCGACTCCTGCTCGCTGCTGCTCCCAGCCTCCGACGACAGGGTAAGGGCTTCCTCCAGCCGCGTGCGAGCCCGACCATCCAGTTAGAGGATGAGCCGCAGCCTCGGGATCCCGGTGAAGCTGCTGCACGAGGCGGCGGGCCACGTCGTCACGGTCGAGCTCAAGACCGGCGAGGTCTACCGCGGCTCCATGGTCGAGTGCGAGGACAACTGGAACTGCCAGCTCGAAAACATCACCTTCACGGCAAAGGTTCGTTTCGTTTCGTTTGGTGTGCCTCGTCTCTCAATAAATCTCTGTGGAATAATGTTCAAGCAATGGATGGATTTCAGGACGGCAAGGTGTCGCAGCTGGAGCACGTCTTCATCAGAGGGAGCAGGGTCAGGTTCATGATCATACCCGACATGCTCAAGAACGCCCCAATGTTCAAGCGCCTCGAGGCCAGGATTAGGGTCAGCACTCTTACACCTGCTCCTCCCTCTTTGTTCATACCACCTTTATTTATGATGCCACTGTTGCAATTTCTTCCTCATCTTGGCATATACCACACTAAAGAAGTTTAATTGCTAACCATCGCTCATCTTCCTGCAGGGTAAAGGCTCAGCTGTTGGTGTCGGCCGAGGCCGCGCGGTCGCCATGCGTGCTAGGGTAATCACATCTTGCTTTCTCTCCACAAGCATCACTTGTTAACCTGGAAGGATTTGATTCATTCAATAACTCCATAAATTTTGAATCCTGTGAATAAATCTTCAACTGCTGTCTAGATGTAGTTCATGATGCTTGACGCAGTCCAACATATGCAACATTATCCAAATAGCTATAATCACAGAACATCCTAGAGCAGTCCTCCATATCTAGTAATCTAGACATGCCTTTGACATCATTGCCCAATCCCCATTCTTTTGCAATGCTGCAATTCTCACACATCACTCTGTTCACGATCATTTGAACCAAGGCAAGCAGCTTGAGATATGTTTTAGCTCGACTAGTGTGGTGTGGATCATGAGCCTCACCTGGCCTATTGCTCCTGCACATTAGAACATCTTTCTCCTGTAGTTGCTCTCATGTTAAATCTAAGGCACGCTGTTTCCATGTTTCATCACTAGTTGCTATTGAATGTCCTTGCTAGTTGCACTATCGCCTTCTCTTCAAGATGGGTAATAGTCTTGATTTTACTCTCTCGAGCCTGTGGATTTATACTAGAAAAGAAAAGAGTATTTTGTGTTTGAAGTCACCCTTTTCTTTTCAACCGTTTGATCTTGAAATCTTCCTACCCAGAACTAAAATGTGAGAGTACACCATGAAGTTTAGAGCAAATGTATTTACACAATCTAGCTTAATTTGCATAAGAAAGCATGAAGAATATGAACTGTTCTGACTTTGATCACAGCAAGTCATGTATCACATTTCCTATGTTTTTGCCTACCAATCAGCAGTCAGCACCCACTTATAAGGGAATTTGAATTTTGAAGCATCTTGGGAGTGTTTGGATGTGAACTTCAAAATGTGCAACCATCTGCATTGAAATCATCTTTGTATTTACACGACTTGCATGAATCTGATATATGCCTGCACACATTCAGATCATTTTATTTGTGTGTATACTTATTGTGTTATACATATGTTATAACCTTTTGCCTGCCACTTGATGTAGGCTGCTGCTGGTCGTGGCGGTGGTCCTGTTGGACGAGGTGGTGCACCCCCTGTGAGGAGGTAGATCTATCTAAAGGATCGCACACGCTTTTATCCGGCAAACCAAGTTTTTGCCCTAGTTGCAAAATCTTTGCTTGGGCAGCCATGCTTGTAAGGTAGCTTATCTGCAGTAGTTTGTGTTTACAGAATGGATGCAAGACTTATGTAACTTTGCCCCACAGTGTATTGCTCGAGTGTGGTGTTAGCTTTAAGCACGAGAAGACTATAAGTTTCAACGATGCTATGTTGCTATTGAGGGTGTGATTTGGATGTATAGATTAGTGACTGCTACCTGTACTGGTCAGAGAATGTGCTCTTTCTTCACGTTCCCTAGCTTTGCAGTTGAGGTAACTTCATGATCATGGTGATAGTTGTGAGTACTGGTGCCCTTGGTACTTGTTGCTGCGTTAGGAGTGGCATAATTAGCTTTGCTAGTGATGACCTTTGGGGTACCCAGATCGAGCTCAGGTGTTTTTAGAATGTATAAGAGTGAATAGCAATACATATGCATATCATCATGAATTAGTAAGTACTTCATGTAGGACAAGTCGGTCGATGCCGTGCATGAGAATTGCCCATGATAATCAGGCAGATGTCTTTCGAAGCAAGCATTTAACTGATCAGTGTCTTTCTGAACAGTTACCAATGTGCCTCGCGCGTGCCTCTCCTTGCCTATACCCGTCTCGTCTGCTAAGCTTTGTCATTTGGCCTGGGAGCATTTGCTTCCCAAGCTCACTGCGAGACCAATTTCCGTTTACCTCATCGGAAATTTCAGTCAGCTATGTGTATCAAATTATTGATGAATTAACTGAGAACTACATGCACAGATAGTTTGCCTTGGAAACAAATTCCTTGGAATTTCGCAGGAATCATGTAGGAAATCCACAGGAATTAGCTCCTTCTCATAGGAAAAATGCAATTGGAAAAAAAAATCCCACATTCCAAAGGGGATCCAAATACAAAGGCAGTTCCACGACTCGGGTTCTGACATGTCACTGCTGCTTCACCAGCTTCGCCTTCCACAGCAAAAGCAACCACAGCGCGCGAGGAACTTATCCAAGGATTACTGTAGTAGAATGAATGCTACATAGAATGTACTCGGATGTTAAAATCTGAACAACAAAATTACATGTATGGTATCATCCAACAATCATTCGAAGTAGCAGATTACAGGTAAAGTGCAATAACACCCAGCTGAGTACCCGTATGGTATCATTTAACATTCACTCGTAGTAGATTAGAGGTACCATCCAACAATTATCCAAAGTCACAGATGACAGCTCCATCATCCAGACATCAAGCAAACGTACTCAATGGTGATGAGCACACAACTCAAGAATAACCATATGACCTGACATAACTTCATCTTTCTCAAACTGCATCATATCTCGGCGCACCTGCTGCTTTTGCTTAGTTATCCGAGCTCAATGAAGTCTCGCCAGGCGAATCACTTTCGTCTTGCATGCGCTTCATCTCATATGCCCATTCTAACCCAGAGCAGTAATGGAGGGGGGGATTGAACCTATGGTCATTCATCTCAGGAGGAAGGAAGGCTCCATTCTCAATCAGGAATCTCACAGTCTTCTTGTTCCTTTCTTTGGCAGCAATATGTAGAGGAGTCCCTGTGTTCAACCAAGAAAAGGGCCAATCAGACTCCCAGGATAAAAGAACAGGTCTACTCATATCATTATTCTGTATAAACATGTTACAATAAGTTTCCACACACTATTGCTAGAGAAGTAGAAGCATATATGATTTAATCATGAAGTGGTTTCTTCCATACAAAATTGCCACATGTCCTTACGCATGAACTGAAACCATGTTACATCATTCAGATACAACTTCAGTTTAAACTGAATGAATTTGAGGCCCAGAATAACCAAGAAGGCATCACTACTGCATACTTATGCAAACACATGTAATATCCAGGTCTCAGAGGAGGGGGAGTGCAACTCTGCTGATAATTAAATGGAAGGACAACTAAGCAGATGCATAGTGGTTACATAGCAAGGCAGTCAACATATGCTAGAAAGATATGTTCATGAAGCAGCATCAACTCCATCATGAAACATGATTAATGACACTGCAAATGTGCATAGTCAACAACTTTCCTCTCTAACAGTACAGGCAATGAGTCAGAGGAAGTGTGAACTTACAGCCACAGGCCCCTTTGGTTCGAGCATCAATATTGGCACCACGCTCCAGTAGTTCATCCATGATTTTAACATGCCCACCCTGAGCAGCCAGATGGAGTGGGGTAGCACCAGGACATTTTGGTCCCCATGCAGGTGCATTGACATCCATCCCATCATCCAGGAGACGTCGGACCTAGGCAAAAAGAGAACCATATTTGTTATCTAATAAGATAGGTGAATAAACAAAAACATTTAGCACTAGGCACTGTTGCACCGACAGGCAACAAGAGAAATAAAAAGAGAACATTATTAATAAAGGTTAATATAGGATGAATATCATTCTGAAGGTTAAAACAGTGGTATTTCTTCCCAAATGTGTCTATAACAATTACCAAATGAGTCAACGCAGTATATTCATTGCTAGTTGAAGCACATGAAAACAAGGAATAAGAAAAAGGGAAATAGTTATGTACAGCCAGTCACAGATGAAGATTGGCAAAATACTTGATGAGGAACTAGAATTGAGAATCAGAAAATTCAAAACGGATTGAGATAGTAGAATTTGGAACATGGTCATATGGGCTTAAGATGGGCACAGAATTTTGATATAATTATAAAGGTGATGGCCAACAAAAGTAATTTTACATCTAGAAGCAGTTGTTTGTTTGGATTCATCGATTGAGACTTGTTGGATTGCTCTGCTTAGCTTCAGGGCGGTGACAAAAAGAATTACTGAAATACTGGTTACCTTGACTTGAGTGCACTTTTATGCAAGGTTCGAAGAAACGTAATTAAACGTCGTTTAATCTCGATTAAACGCTAAACAGAGGCCCAACGTTTCATTTAGGGCCTAGGCGCCCAATTAAGCACTGGGCACGCCTAGACGCTGCGTCTACGCGCTAGGTGGCACAGACGCGTTAAAAATCGGCGCTAAGCGTCGCTGGGCGGGCAGGCGGCAGCCGCGCGTGCGCGGAAAGCACAAGCGGGAGAGTGCACGTTCGCGTGGGAGCAAGCGCAGGCTGCGCGCGAAAACAGAGTGGGCGGGAGGGATCAGATAGTTATGGCAAAATTACTCTGCTCCTTCTCTTTCCTCACACACGCGAGGCCGTGACCTGCCGCCGCTCTTGCCACTAGTTGCGAGCGGAGCCCCTGCTCGAGAAATCACACAGCCTGGAGGGGAATCGAGGGAGCTGCTCAACAAATCGGCACATCCTGGAGCGGAATCGAGTGCAGGAGCAGCTGGTGCAGGCCGCAGTGTTCTCCTGCACTCCAGCCCCTTGCGTTGTCGCCGGCTATTGCAATTGCAAATTTGATGTTTGCTAGTGCTAGTTGCCTAGTTGGTCAATGAATTGGATCAGTCTGCTAGCCTTTATGCGTGCTACCTCTTTAGTCCTTATGTGGTCGATGAATTGGATTGGGTTCTGCAGTCTGCTAGTCTTTATGCGTGCTACCTCTTTAGTCTTTATGGTGCCGATGAATTGGATTCAGTAGGCTAGCGCCTAGCGTTTTCTTGAACCTTGCTTTTTATGTATTTGGTGTTTATTTGTGTGTGATGTGTGCACGCAATTCATGCGAACCATCACGTGCTGCAATCTGTATATGGTATTCTGCCCATATGGATATAACTGGTTACAGTCTATTTCCATTCTTTACTACACCTAATAAGTTGGACATTTGCTGACCTTTGGGAATATTTTATAAACCATCAATCAAAATACAATAGCAGGCTCCTTTTCCCCTCTTCCAAAGTTTTGGTAATAGTATGGGTTCATTCACAGTCTAATCTAGTTTTGTATAGCATGCAATGTATCAAGAGAAATAAAACGGGAGAGAGAGTATGTATGAATGGTGGTTACCTCCTTGAGGTCTCCCTTGCGAGCAGCAACGTGGAGCGGGTTCCAGCCACGGTCGTCAGCGTCGTGGCAGCTCCGGGGGCGGCTCATGCTGAGCGACCTGCGCACCAGCACCATGGTATCCTTGGCGGCTCTTCGGGCAGCAGGACAGGGGAGGATCTCCAGCCTCAGATCCAAAGCAACGGAGCAATGAAGCGAATGGGGGCGGAAAGTAGCGGGGATCGGTTCCGATGGAGGAAGCAGCCGGGGTGGTGGCGGAACCGCGGAAGCAATTCAGAGATTGGAATCGGAGAAGAGGGATCGGAGGAGACGACTAGCGGGAGTAGTTGCCCATGCCGAAGGGAGCAAAGGGATTCAAGCCGGGTCCGAGCGCGCGAAGGTTCTTGTGGAGCATCGGCGAGGAAGACGGCGGCGTCGATGAGCGGCACGGGGCGTAAACCATAGTATGGGGGCGCGTGCTGTCTGGTGGTGCCGGTGGATTTGTTCCCTTCTCGTTCCCTACTCCAATCGAATCGGAATTCGACCGCCAAGCAGATCAGAGGAAGACGGAATTGGGGATCATAGCTAGCCTATCCCGCCGCCGATCCAGCCTCTGCGTCTGCCTGGTGGTGGAGCTGGAGGGACTAGGGAGCGAGAGGGGGAAGGGAAGAGGCGGATGAGCAAGCAAACCCTAGTAGAAACAACAACAAATCGGAATCAAATTCCCGTCCGCTTCCTCCTCCTTGTTTTCCGATGAGACAACTTTTTATTTGTGGATGGATGGACGGAATTGCCCCCGAGCGGCCGAAACGGACACGACACGACCAGGGTTGCGTCGGGTGCCCCGATGGGAAGGACGCGATCAGGCGACAGGTAGCCCATGGGCTAAATTTAGAAAGTAAGTAAATGGAGGCCCATGAAGGGCCCACCTAGATTTCATTCCGCTACGGCTGCGACGATTCCCCATTTTGAGTGCAGTGCAAAATCCCACCCGCCGGCAAAACCCTCTTCCCCTTCTTCCCCCGCCGCCGCAGCCATGGCCGCCGCACGGTCCCGCGCAGCCGCGGCGTGGGCCCGCCTCCTCTCCCTGCGGCCGCACAGCCTCGCGGAATCCACCGCACTCCCCCGCCATCGACATCACCTAGGCTCGCGGATCACGCCGCCGCGCCGCCACCTGGCATTCTCCGCCTCCGCCGGGGGCGCTCAGGCCCAACCAGAAGATCCAGAGCGAGCGGGTCGTGCACGAGCTGCTCGCTCAGGTCGAGCGCGAGCGCCAGCGGGAGCGACAGGACCGCCGCGCAAAGGACGGCAAGGACCAGGAGGAAGAGCCAGAGGAGGAGGAGGAGGACTACATGGGCGTCAAGCCGCTCATCGAGAAGCTCGAGCGACGCAAGGCCAAGGAGGCGGCCGCCGACGAAGGCTTCTGGGAGCCCACCGACTCCGACAGCGACGAGGACGACGAGCGCTACACGCCCGACGCCATCAAGCGACGCGTCGACGAGTTCGAGCGCAAGTGCAAGCGCCATGGGGAGTACCTGCAATCATTCGCAGAGGCCGGTAATAAACCTACTAGCAGCCTTTCATCATCCCGTCCTCCATCCATTTCCACTCCACCACATTTAGGCCTTGTTTGGATGCATGTGTACGCATTCACCTGTGTTAGAGTGGAATGGAATGGAACTTAGTTTAATTCCACTCCAATCCACTTCAACACATGTGGATTGAGATGAATACATACGCATAAAAAAAAAGGCCTTAGTTACTTTTGTACCCTTCAACAATTCTGTCCTTTGACATCGACAAATGTGACAGACACCCTCGACGAGGCTCACAAATGGATGACCAAAATCAACAAGTTCGAGGAGCGCCATCTCAAGCTGCCACTGGAGTACAGGGTCATCGGGGACATGATGAACCTTCTCAAGGATGCCACGGGGAAAGAGCGCTTCGTTCTCCTTCAGAAGCTCAACCGAGCCGTCAGGATCATGGAAATCAAGGAGGCCTACGACCCCAGTAACCCTGCAAACTTTGGGCTCATCCAGCACCAGCAGGTTGGTTCTCCAGAGGATGTCATGCTCAATGCCGGCTTTGATAAGGAGAAGCAGATGATCCAAGGGGCAGAACTTGAGGGTGATGAGGAGGAATTCAATGAGGCAAAGGAGAGGGATGATATGCTCATAGAGAAACTCAATGCTATTGAAAAGAAGATTGAGGAGAAGCTAGAACTGTTGGATCATACCTTCGGTAAGAAAGGCAGAGTTTTGGAGGAGGAAATCAAGGATTTGGTGGAGGAGCGTAATTCCCTGTCTGAGAAGAAGAGGAGACCTATGTACAGAAAAGTAAGTAGAATCATCAATTGAAAATGGTCCGATCGGCCTAGCAAACTTTTGCCTTGACCTGGATCTATCTTCCATTGATGCCTTTCATGTTGCATTATGTGCTAACACGGATATCGCCATGACACACCTCACAGGGTTTTGATGTGAAAGTTATCGACGTTAACAGGACATGCAAAGTCACAAAGGTTAGTGTTCTTTGTTTGAGTTACTTAAACTGCTAATTATAGCCTTTTCACCAACTCTGTTGCCTAATTTTACATTGTGCTTATCAGGGAGGACAAATAGCAAAATTCACAGCGCTATTGGCCACTGGAAATTACAATGGTGTTGTTGGCTTCGCGAAAGCTAAAGGCCCAACAGCCAAGATTGCAATACAGAGGGTATGGATGATTTACCTTTCCAAAGAAATTACTAAACTTGTTCCTGGTGCCAGTTAAGGCAGTAGCATTGAGTTGTAGACTCCTAATAATAGATAAGACAACTAAACATTTGTGGGTTGGGATATTTACGGAAGTAGCATATATATAATACGTAGTAATAGAGAATCCTTGACCTCGAAAATATCTTATTAGTTTACCTGGGAATCTCTATCGAATGCTTTATTATTTGAGCAACTGGTTTCATGCTTCATTTGGAATTAGCTGAGTCAACCGAGGCATCTAGGTCTTACAGGAAGTGTCTTTTTTTATTCTCTTCGCTAGGCATATGAGAAATGCTTCCAGAATCTCCACTACATGGAGCGATACGAGGATCACACAATTGCTCATGCTATCCAGGCCAAATATGAGAAAACGAAGGTGAGCACACGGAAATACCAAATCTCTCTTGTATTTGTGAATCCTGCTGTGGTAACTCTGGTGGGCCTGATGGCTGCTTGTGTATCTTAAGATATACCTCTGGCCTGGACCAATGAGGAGTGGAATGTCTGCTGCTGGTAGGACTGTTGAGACTGTGCTGTACTTGGCTGGTTTCAGCAATGTCAAGACAAAGGTGTGATTCTAAAGTCCAAGAGATCACTATCAGTCCTTTTCGTATTTCAAAACTGTGATAATTCTTTTCTTATTTCAAAATTGTGATAATTCTTTTCTTGCCTTTTGTCATGCAGATTATTGGATCAAGGAACCCACTTAATGTGATTAAAGCTCTCTTCATAGCTTTGAATGCTGTATGTGCCCATTTCTTTTTCAAAATCTACCCATTTCAATCTCCTCATTCTTGATATTTATTTATAGGTCATCTTGTCTAATTTTTCAATCCACTTGTTTCCAGATTGAAACTCCGAAGGATGTCCAACAGAAGTTTGGGCGCACTGTTGTCGAGTCATATTTATTGTAACCATCTGATCGTTTGGAGGACTCAGAGGCGAGCGGAGCCTCTATAGGTTTTTCCATGAGAAGACCAAGGAGGCAAATGGCACTAATGAGAGCCCTCTTTGTTTTGGTGGTGATGTTGACCATTGATGAGCGGGTGCATGTTGAAGTGGCAAAAATGTCAGTGCCAACAGTAATCAGATAAATAGACGGGATTCCCCTGACTGTGTTTGTAGAACTTGAATGAACCTGGGGACACGCATTTGAGGGTTCTTGTATAAATATATACTCCAAGATCAAAATCAAAATTGCCTCGTCTTTTTATGGCGAGGTGCCTTGTTTTTGTTACCATAGCTGCTTCTCCCTGCATACTGTTGTTTGGATGATAAAATCAATTGAATATTATTTTTTCATGAGTTAGTGAATAGGCCATCTTGCTCATTCATTGTGTATGTCATGTGATTGACCAGAGTGCTGGTGGTGGTTGGGGTCCAGCATTCCTCAACTGGTTGATTATGTGAGAAACTGTAGTAGGTGGGATTGTTCATCCCTGAATGTTACAGCTATATTGTCTTGTTAATTGAGGCATTTACCATGTGTTTAGTTTATTGGCACCACATCCACATACAGTTGTCGGATCATCATACAAGTAGAAGTAGACACAGTTTAGGGTGTACAGCAGCAAGTACAGGGCAGTAGCTTTATTTTATTTTGCCTGCCTGCTGAGTAGAGTAGAGAGTAGATTGCATTGTACAACGCTGATGGAGGCAGGGGCTTGAATTGCTTGCTTGCGGCACATTAGAGCATCTCAAGAGTTCCCTAAGCATCCTCCTAATCCTTATTTTTTTAGAAAGATGAGAAAAAATCATCTCCAACAAATATTTACTTATAATCTTTTATCTTTTAGGACTTGAAATTCCTCCACCTTTACGCGGACCAAGCCACCCTCGGAGACGCCGTTCGACGTTGCGGAAGTCGCGGGCGGCGGGGTCGTAGACGACGCGGAGCTGGTCGGAGAGGCACGGCGCGACGGTGGGGTCGTCCATGGCCGTGGCGTTCCTCCACAGCCCATGGCGTAGGCAGCGAGGAGGAGGACAGCGGCGACGGCGAGGATGAGGTCAGCGCGGCACCACTCCCTGCGGAGGTTCTGCAGCAGGCCGGCCTTGCAGGAGGCGCACGAGTAGCAGAACTTGGCGTCCTCGTTGCTCCAGGCGGCGCAGTCGGGGTCGGCGGTGGCGCTGATGGGGCTGATCACAGGGATGGACAGCAGCGCGGCCACGACGTTGATGGCGGCGACGCCCATGTAGTTGAGCGCCATGGCTTAGCTACCGCTCCTAGTCCTAGCAGCTCAGAATGAAATACGACAATACATACATACATACTACAAAGTGTGGCCGGCCGGCCAGCCTCCTTTGCGGACGGTACCAACACATACATACAGGGCCTATACATGCCCGTTGCCGTGTGGTAACACTTGTTCACCACGCCATAAATCGACCAAGTAGAACGTGCCAATCAAGCTTCACAGCAACATACCGTTGGAAACCAGAATCCTCATCCAAGTCCATCAAATCAAAATGCACACCTGGGACTGGGAGGCGGCGGCGGCGGCGTGCCGCAGCGAGTAGGAGCGAAGGGAAGAAGAGCAGCAGCAGGCGGCGGCGACGGCGGCGTGGATACGCGCGGCGACGAAAAGGTTCGCGTGGAAAAAAAACTGCAGAAAAAAGGTTAAATGGGACCAGTATTTGATTTTTTAGAAGTCAAATATTAGAAACTATTGGAGATAAACTTTTTTTTCTCCCAAAACCTTTTTAGGAGTTAGTAAACATAGATTTTTTGGGAGAAATATTTAGGGAACTCTTGTAGATGCTCTTAGGCTTAGGGATCTGTCTGCTGCTGTGCGTGGCCACCATTGAGGCTAGGCTTGGCTGCTTGGTGCTGGTGGCGGTGGCGGTGGACGCGGAGATGCATCATGTTCCATGTCGCCGGGCACGGGGAAGCCATGGTGCACCCAGGCAAGCAGCCTGTTCGGCTGGAGCGGCTGGCTGGCTGGTGCTGGCCAGCCCTCTCACGTGAACAGTGTTTCCAGTCAGGAACAATATTTTTCTCTCATACAAACCCGTCAGCAGTACTTTCTCACGAACCAACGATGAACAAGCCAATAGTTCCGAACAGGCCGAAGGTAGCCACCTCCCATGTTCTTGACCTTCTTGAATCCCTGCTGGCATACGTTGTGTGCATTAGAGTAGGCAAGCTGTTGGTAGTAAAGTCTATCTGTGACGATGTTGTGTACAGTTCTTACTGCTGCTTGGAGATCAATGCATGCTAGCTCTGATATTTATCCCGTTCGTTCAAAATTGAATAGAGATTTAACATCAAAACTTGACAAAATTCATCGAAATATGCTTCTGAAAGGTCTAAACTTAATTCACAAACTTCACTGTGCACTCGTCCGGCCCAGCAGTGCTACAGCAGCCCAAAACCGCGTCGGCTCGGCCCAATTGTGCTCTCAGCACGGCTTGTAGCGGTTTGGCCTGCTCGGCTCGGCGGCCCAGCAGCCGCTCGGCCCTCCTGGGCCTTCAGCCCAGCAGCCGATGGACAGGCCACCAAATCGGCCCGTCGCGCCGCTCGCCTCTCTCTTGCCTTGATCCCATCCGTCCATCTGGATCGGACGGTGGAGCGCGTGGATCGGAAGGGATATGAGCCGTCGGCCGGTTCGGGATCCCCTAACCCTAACCCTAGCTATCCCGGCCGACCGGAGCGCGTGCCGCTGGCGCCTCTCACGCCGGCACACGGCTTGGTCTGGCCACCAGCCCAAAGTCGGCGACCCCGAGAAACCCTTTCTCCTTCCCTTCTCACATCTTCTTTCTCGCAGCGCCGCGCAGAGGCGAGCGCCGGAGCGATGGCCGCCCATGATGGCCGGAGTGAGTCGGCCCCACTGCGGGCCCTCTCGCCGGCGGTGTCCGAAGACGACGGAAACGGCGGCGGCGCCACCGCAGGGCCCCTTGCCGGCGTGCGCGTTCTCCCGAGGCTGAGCGCGCCACCGTCAAGTAGTCGTGCTGCGGTGCCCTGAGTCCGCGCCCCGACGAAAGGTAGTGGCGGTGCGGCTCCCTTCCCATGCGTCGGCGAAGAAGCGACGCGGTCTACTTCCCGTGCGACATCTGAGCAACGCCGGCGGTGGTGACTTCGGCAGGTGAGCCCCAGGTAGGCCCCTGTGCCGTCCATCCTTGCTTTTCTCTCTAGGGTTAGGTCTTAGGATTCGGCCAAACTCTAGCCGGCCAAATCCGAACCCACTGTTCATCTTCTTTCTAAAATTGTTCTTCTTTTCTACTTTAACACGCGATCTACACACTAGATAACTTGGCTCTGGTACCATTGATAGGAATTCTAGAACCTTTAGGTGCAGATCAATGGATAAATGCATAACTTAGATAGGAAACTAGGTGATGTACCTCGTCCTAGGTCATCGTTACCTAGAGTGGATCCTGTCCGAGTCCCCTCGCGTCGGTGTAGTAGTTGCAGTGGTGCGGTGCAGTGACGGCGACCGACGGCGAAGCGAGGTGCTGCGGTCCGGTGGTGATGCTTCCCGCCGCTTCAGCACTCCCTTGATCGATAGGGTTAGAGCAGGAAGTGGGGATCATAGTGAACCTCATGTCTACGCCCTGGCCCCCACCTCCCTCTAAATAGTGTAGCGCGACGGGGGCCTACTAACCTCGGTTTTGGTTGGATGCCCCGATCAAGGCACTGGATCAAGGCCCGACTCGACCGTTGGGCCGAGTCGGATGAGATCAACACTAACACTTCCTGCCCTGCTTCGACTGCTCGGGGAGCCGCAAGCTGGCTGTCACGCGTCCCGTGGTCGCCGCCTCCTCCGCCACCATGGCTTCCTGCAGGCGGCGGAAGAAAGCAGGGACGGTGGTGGTGGTGCGATGCGGGGAGTGCAATGAGAACGGCCTCGTGCTGTGCCCGATCTGCTCCTGACCATCCTGCCATTGCCCACATTGCCCATTGGGGAGGAATCGAATCAGGCAGGATCCATCCATTTCAGATGCAGGTGCAGGGCGTGCAGCCGTGCAGCGCAACAAATCCCCTTTGATCTTTGCTGGTTGTAAAATGCTGGTTGGTGGATTGATGATTCAGCAATCAGAAGGCAGAGGAAGTCACTCTTTTCTTTCATCAACTATATATTGACGATTGATTGAATGATTTGATTCTGTGCCAGTCTGCTTGCCTGGATTCAAATTTGCTATGCCATCTTAGTGCAATGCAATGCAACTTTTAGAAACATTTGTTTGCCTGCTACTATTCTCAGGATCATCAACAAGTAATAATTACTAAAGGGCCGAGCCGAGGCGCGCTCGCACGTAGCATTCATCAAGGATGGTGATTGCATCAAATAGATCCGTTCGCAACACACATACATATACGATCGTTACAGCGATCCCAAAATAGGATAGGCTATGTTTACATGCTTGCCTTGCAGCCTTTGGTGCTTCACGGAAGTGCAATCGATTGAGCGATATATAATGATGATATATGATCACTATTGCACTCTTCGATCAAGCAAGGAACTAATTTGAATGAACGTTGGAATTTCATTCGGATCCTTTTTAATTTTCATTCAAACGATCCACCCAACAATATATATAATTTGAATTTGAATGAACGAACTGCACCACGCCGCACCAGAGTTGGTTGTAAATTTCTTCTCTTCTGAAATAATTAATAAATTACGTAATAATATAGTAGTAACTCATTCACTAACCTGGCTAGCTCACATTGCAGCACAAAAGTGTGGTGATCGAGCACATACTACCTAGCTGCACTAATCCATCTGATCCAGGATACTTGCTTGCATTGAATTGGTTCTTCAGTACTATCTATCTTGTTTAATAATTACCCTTACGGTGATGATCCAGTATATATTAATTAGTACTACTAAGTAATACATAGGCTACTGCTCGGCCAGTATGATCCTTGATTCCACCAGGTGAAGGTGAAGGTGCAGGTGCAGACGTGCATCAGTGCAGGCTCAGCTAGATCGAGCTAGTCCTTCTTCCTCCTAGTCGCAACTCGCAAGTCAGTCAGCGGGAGGAGGCGCACAGCTGCCGCAGGGCGTGAAGTCGCACGGCAGCCTTGTCCGTCCGGCTGGTCCTCCACCGCCGGCATTGGCCCTGCGGAAGCGCGCGCCCTCCAGTAGCACCCTCTGGCCGGAGCTGAGGAGCGCGCCGTTCATGTGGTCCATGACGCTGGCCGTGGTCGGGTACAGGAAGGGACCCCCGGGGGCGTTGTAGTAGGCGTTGAGCAGCGCCGCCGTGGCCTCCCGGAGCAGCGTCCGGTACATGTCGCCGCGGCCCTCCAGCGCCTCCCTGAGAGTCAGCTCCGACCCGTACCGCTGCGCCGCCAGGGGCCCGAACGCCATGGCCACCGTCGTGTTCGGGGTCAGCACCTTCCAGTGGCAGCGGTGGTCCGGCGACGCCCACATGCTGTGCCAAGTGCCATGCATGCAACGATTGGATCGGTCAGGAGAAATCAAAGGAAAGGAAAACAAACGATCGACGTACTCGTAGGTGCAGGCGGAGCCCTGCGATGGTGCCGTTGGAGGAGGAGGAGGCGGCGGCGGCAGGACCTGTGGCTGTGGCTGTGGCTCCTGCGGCTGGTGGGGCTGTTCCTGCGGCCAATTCGTTGGCGGTTTTCGCCAGACGGGCGGCAGGAGCCTTGGCCTGCGGCGCCAGAAGGGCGGGAGCGGAGAAGAGGAAGCCGGCGCCGGCGCCTGGGCGACGGGTGGCCTGCTGCCGCCGCGTGTTGACCTGTCGTGTCCCGGGCAGAAGTCCATGGCCTCCTCCGGCTGCGAGAGCAGCGGCGGCACGGTGTAGAGCGCGAGGCCCAGCATGCGGAAGGCGAGCGTGAGCTCGCGCGGCGCGCCGGGGGACGTCGCGGCGCCGCCGCAGTGTCCCGTCCCCTGGACGACGCGCGCCGTGCAGCGGTTCATGTCCGGGGATCCCTCCATGCGGACGGAGAAGCCGCCGAACCAGTTGGTGTTGCTCTCCCGCACCGTCAGCGGGGTGTCGCCGCCGCCGCACTGGATGGCCACGCGCGCGCCTGCAATGGCAAGAGCAAGAGCATGCAGTGCACGTCTGGTTCGTGATGTATGGTATGGGATTGGATGGGTTAGGTGGGCAGGAGCAAGAGCATGTGAAGTGCAGTGCAGAAATGGCATGGACGACCAGAGCAGGCGATGATGGATGCCCAACCCAAGTACGTACCGTAGAGCGGGTAGTCGAAGAGTCCCTTGGCGCCGTCCTTGCACTGGTCGCAGAACACCATGCCGGCCACCACCGTGCTGGCCGCCGGCACCGTCGCCTCCGCCACCGCGGCGAATCCCAACAGCACCAGCAGGATGAGTAGCCTGCGGGTGCTGATGACCACCATCTGATTCTGATGCGGCTCCTTCATCATCTGATCGATCCGCTGGGGCAGAGCTAGCGAGGATCGACGTCGAACTGATGTGGCCCTCCGACTCCGATCCGATACGACCGATCGATCGACGATGGAAGCTGGAGTTCGTCGCCGATTGCTGCTGACCGCTAGCAGTAGCGCATTGCAGCACCCCTCCTTCCTATTCCTATGCTGGTGTACGTGTTGGTACGATGTTGGTCATCTGCAATATATTCGCTACTGGACTGGATGGTGATTTGGGTGGTGTGCTAGCCAGCAAAAGCTGAGGTGTATATATATATTACAACTAGCTGCTAGTACGTAACACATACCAGCTGCTCCTGCTCGCTCGCCCGCTTTGTGTGACGCGCCCCATTCGGCAATCCGATCGGGGCAGGGAAAGGAAAAGATGGAGCACCATCTTCTAGTCTAGCTACTAATTTGCTTATATATATACTACTATTGTTGTTACTGCACTTCTTTCCCCCCTTGGTTATTTAACAAGGGAAATGGGCTTTGCATGCTGCATTCTCTAACTCTGTCTTGTGTTGTGCTAGCTCTAGGTTTTTATTTAATTTGTAACTAATTAATACCACTATTGTATCCATCTTGCTTAATTAATTGGTTCAAACATGTATATATGTAAAGCCGATAGCTTCGGTCTTCATGCCAAGGGAACTGAACTGGTGGCTACGGAAGGTGCCAAGGTGTCGATGCCAAATATATGGATGTATAATACAAATAGCGATGACATCGAAGTTTGGCATAAACATGCATATATATGACTAGTTCTCATCAAATGCAATACAACACAAAACTGATCCTTGTATCAACACACACACACACACACAAAAAAAAACCCTGTTCCACTCCAACAACCACATAATTCATCATTTAATCTTCAAACTTAACCATGGATAGCTTAAGCATAACTTTAATCTATCACTACATCATCATTAAATCAATAATTGACTTTAACTCTAGTCTTGAACAATTTCTGAGTCAGTCACTACCTATAGACTCTTGGATGTCGAAGAAAATGTTTTCCCTCGATGCTACCTGGGTCTCCCCCTCTCAACTTCCAAACCGCACTGCCCCACCATCCATCAATTGCACAACTACATCCTCTACACCGGCAGGTGATACGTACAATACAGGGACTCATGCACAATCCGACGTACAGGAACGCTGCACCACCACAGAATCATGCTTCCAGCACTGTTGACGGGTTCTACAATCCGACGTACAGGAATTCGCTTTAAATTCTTTGGTTCGTGAACGCTTACTTGGTGGTTTGTGTGAGAAAAATACAGAATCATGCTTCCGATCACTATTACAAGCCACAGTTCTAAACGAATGTGCTTAGGTGTTACATATGCATCAATGGTCCTAGACCAACCACAACTTCCCAAGGGAAGCCGGGTTGGGGGGGTTTATTTCATCATCAACACCCAAGTACAGACGATCCGGCCAAAATGTATACATTCAAGCAAGGGTCAACAACTCTGTGTCGGTCCTAATGGCTGAAGCTACAGCTCTAGCCCTGGTGGGTTCGGTGGCTTCTTTGCTTAGCCTACACAGCCCAAACTCCTTATCAGACAACCAACATTTGGTCAACTTAATTCCTCAGTGGCACAGATCATTCATCACCATCGGATTGGAGGATCAAAGCATTCACTCAGGAATTCATGAATTGCAATATATAGACAGAACAACTTCAAGATTTACAAGATTGGGAGGAACCTCAACCATATAACTCATGTGTTAGCAAAGCAAGCATTCGCAGCCATCCAGTTTCAACCTTTCCCAATTTTCATTACTTGTACTAATCATGCTCATGTACACCAGTGCCCCTTAAGGAACGCACTGCACTGCAGTGAACTCTGTTTCCCCGTTAGCTGCTGAAATAAAGTGATGTTACTTGTGTAGAAAAAAAAACTTCCAAACCGCGGGGCATCGGTGCTGCAGCCTGCATACTCGCTCGTGGGCCAAGAAATTTTAGAAACAGATCTTTAGACCCAGCCCAACAACCCTTCTCCACAGCCCAACTCGCAGCCCCTTACCATTGAGCGCACCAGCCGCACCCCTCCCGGTCCGAAAAGTGAGACGTGAATGCTGTGAGAAATTTGCAGCGGCGGCATTCGAAATTTGAAGTTCCCTTCTCCTCCCGTCGTTGGAGTCCCGTTCCCGTCCCTTGGGAGCCGGCCAGCCGTGGAAGGGAAGGGGAACCGCCGCCCGCGAGGCCGCGACGCTTGATCGATCCATCCACCCGCGGCCGCGGAGATTCCCGCCCGTGTGCCCGTGTGTGGAGTTGAGTTGTGATGGAGGCCACCTCCCCGCCTCATCCTCCCACCACCGTCCGCCGGAACCCACCCCGCCGCGCGAGGCCTCCCCCGACCCCGCTCACCGGCGCCAAACCCAAACCCTCCTCCCTCTCCCGCCTGCTCGAGGATGAAGCAGCGTCCGCCGCCTCCGTTCCCCGCCCGCCGCAGGAGGACCGCCTCAAGGTCTTCCTCCGCATCCGCCCACTCCCGGACCACCGCGATCGAAGCCGCCCAGTGCCCGCTGCCAAGGAGCCGCGCCGGAAGCCCAAGCAGGGCGGACCCGGACCCGGACCCGGGCCCGGGGAGGTCTGCCTCGCGCCCACCGGACCCAACTCTGTCGCACTAACTGTCCCACGGTCGAAGCTCGTCGACGCCAAGCGAGGTCGGACCGAGGTCTTCGATGGTTTCTCCGCCGTTTTTCCGTCCAACTCCACCCAGGTTCTCTTCCTTATATCACCTTGCAAATTAAACCCCAGCCTTTGAAGTATTGTTTAAAGAGCTTTATTAATTTCTGTAGAATCTTGTCCAAAACTGATTTTCGCTCTGCACGGTTTTGACCACAGTTTCTTCACTTCAAGTCATGAAACTCAGGATTATTTAGCCAACTCAACTCAAACCTGAACTGTTTACAGATTTAACAGGTCCAGCAGAAATTATGAGAGGTTTATGGTCAGATATCTCTCTAGTAAGCCTTTTAACAATAGCATATGGGAAGATATCCTCCCACTCTTTAGAAACTAAAATTCTATCCAATTTTTCCAATATTGGACATTCCTGATTATTGTACTATGTGTATAGACCACCAGTCATCATCAACTCCCTTAACTCGTGGAAGTGAATAAGGGTGTTAAACAACCCAGAGTATCTATGTACCCTGTTGTTCTTATTCCTTTCTTTGGCATATCTAATTATATTGAAGTCTCCTCCAATCAAGATAAGTAGTATGTACTGTACCTACTAGCGTTTTAGCTTGATGATTAAAGGTCAGGTCCACTTTCCTCCTCACAGCATGATATCTTCGCGCAAGTCATGAACCCTCTGGTGGATGACTTCCTGGGCGGAAAGAGCGGCCTTCTGGTTGCAATGGGCCCCACAGGCTCTGGAAAGACGCACACCATCTTTGGTAACCCAAGGAATCCTGGTATACTGCCCCTCACGCTGAGGAGAATCTTCGACGCACAAGGCGAAAACAAGGTTGCCAGGAAACCAGCAAGGTAAAACATGTTGTTTCACATCCAGTCCCTAGTTACATTTGCAAGCTATGGTATGGACGGAACCATATCTTGATGTTTCTTTTTCTATGACAATAACAGGTCATTTTTCCTATCAGTGTTTGAGATACTTTCTGAGGGAAAAGGGGAACGCATTCTTGACTTACTGTCTGATGCTGTGGAGTGTGTTCTTCAGCAGTCAGTGATTAAAGGTCTTCAAGAGGTAGTCCTCAACCAAACACCTTGAACTCTCTTGATAGGACTGAATACCCTTTGACTCTGTGATTTCAGTTTGAATTGCATTTCTTGCTGTCACCTCCTGAGAATTCCAATCGGATAGTTACAATTAACATGGGTGGGAAGGTGCTGTGCAAGTCTTGTGAGGAATTTGCATTTCTTGCTGTTATTTGGAATCATGATTTCTGATCACATGAATGTCCTGGAAGTTGGAACAGTACATGTCATTTGAATTGCATCGTGGAAGAGACTGATATGCCTGATATATCTGTAGCAGACAATAAGTTGTTAGCTTTAATTTGTTCTGCAGGTTGCCCTTTCAAATCCTGCAGATGCGGAGAGCTTGATTTCACGTGGTATGCTAAAGCGCAGCACGGCTGCAACAAATGCTAACAGCAACTCAAGGCATGCTCTTGGTCTCCTTACAAATATGTTCGCTTGTTCTTTCGTAATGGATGTTTTTGTTCAGAATACACTTGTGTACCTTGGAATTTTTTTTCTTAATAATCATAACAGACATAGTGTTTCACTAGTGAGCATCACTATTTGCTTGCTTCTATTCTAGGTCTTTCAAATAACTTTTAAATCATGTTTATAAATATGATGTTAAAGAGAACTTCATTTTGTATTGCAGTCGATCTCAGTGCATCATCACGATACGCGCAGACAGTGAACATCCACTTAGTAGTGTTGTTCTGACCATAGCAGACCTTGCTGGCGCAGAGCGGGAAAGGAGAACCGGAAATCGAGTCTGTTTCTCCATCAGCGTTACTTTGTAATATGATAAAACAAAGATTTGTTTCTAAAAAATGATTAACCATTTGTTTGCAGGGTTCAAGGCTGTTAGAAAGTAACTTCATCAACAACACATCCATGGTTTTCAGTCTCTGTTTGAGGGTACTGCCAAATGGCTTTTCTCCTGAATCTTTTTTTCCACTGCAGTCTACATGCAAAACACTATCATTCACTCATTTGCATCTTTGAATTAATGAAGATGTGCTAGCCTGTTCACTAATTCTTTTCTTTTTTTTTGTATTGGTAATTGCAGTCTCTGTTAGAACATCAGAAAAACCAGAAGAAGCCCTTGGAAAAGCATTTCAAGAATTCCATGGTGATATTTCTTAATTCGCTTAAAGCAGTAGTATATAAGACTATTTTATAATTGAAATTTCAATGTTAGCTTCTAAATCTTTTTGCCATTTTTGATAGTTGACAAGGTACTTAAGAGACTACCTAGAAGGAAGGAAGAAAATGACTCTGGTATGATACTTGGACCTGAAATTATCACTTGTAACATTGAAAGTATATATTAGTAAATTTGTCATGATCAACACTTTCCAATGACTATATTTTCAATAAATATAAACAAAAAAAATGCTTGGAAAAAGTAAGTGAAAAAAATTGGAGACCTTGCAATATCCAAAACTCAAGTAAAAAAGAAGGGTGGTGGTAGGTTTTTAGTGCTACATACTTTTTGCACAAGAGGTTTTTAGTGCTACATAACACTGGTGCTAACCCTTCGGTGTACATGTTGATTCTTGTGTGCTTTTATCTTTACTTTAATAATTATCTGCCCTTATTTTTCAGATCTTGAATGTGAAGCCAGGGGATGATGATTATTTCGATACATCATTTTTGCTTAGACAAGCATCTCCTTACATGAAAATAAAGTACTATTACTCTCCTTACTACACTGATTCATTTTCTTTTCTTTTGCTATAATTGAGAAGAATAAAACATAACTAGTGGGAAAGGTGTATTAGGTTGCTTATTGGTGCCAATCATATCAGTATTTATAAGGTTGATAATTGTAACTGTATTAATAGAATCTTGCTAATCTTGTAAGATCATAGTTTGTAGCTTCAATTAGAAGAAATGCGGCGAGGAAAGTGGCAACATTGATCACTTAATCAAATCAACTAGCTTTTCTAGAAACTTGTTTTTGTCTTCAAAGACAAAAGGATAGATGTCCCATTTAGGGTATTTATTTTTTTGTAAATCATTTGGTTACCATGTGATATTCATTACTTGGCAATCTTATAGCCAAGATCTCTAATTTACCCTTTCTAATTTCTCATTCATTTTGCTTCCTGTTATCTTGTCAGGTACACTAGCCTTGAGGACTCTTCTGACTTGGCTTCCCAAAAGAGAATCAATGTTTCCTTGATTTGCCAAGAGAACAAGAAAAAAAGGAAGGTTCAGAAGCCTGAAGTCCTTGTGGTACATATTGCTGTTTACCTTCAATATTTGAGTGTGTTTAGATTTAAGACTGTATAGATAGCTTCCATGCACTGCAGCATGTTGACCCAAAGTTTCAATTCACATGCATACCATATGTATTTTTACTGAATGGTTATGTCTTTGCTGTCTTAAGCAAAGATATAACCATCTGATCATAAGCACTGCTCTTGTTTTAAAAATTATAGGACTAGGGAAGGTATTATTTCTTAGTGGGACTGTGTTGTCATATATTTTACGTTTGCAGGTTGAAGGAAAGGAAAATGTTGATACAGATGATATTTCTAAAGTTTCTGAAAAAGGTTCTGTTTACTAGCTCTTATGATGTATTTCAATGTCGCATGCTTTATTTTTGGTACAAGTTATCTGTGGTACTGGTGAACCTTTTATTTACTTTCAATATTGCAATAGTATTTGAAATGGGTACAGATGGCGCACAGCATGTGTCTCTCAACTCAGATATGCCAAGAGTATCCAGAAGCGAAGCAATAATGACAAACTTTGCCAGGGCTTTATTGACTGTATTAAGACAGTATAAGCACAAACTTTTGGTAATTTCCGATGCATGTTTTTTCTTCTGAGCATGATATGTGGAACATCTGTTCAATATAAGAGCTTTTCTGGGTGGTTAATACAGAACTCGAATACCCAAATATATATATATATATATTTTTGTAATATTTCATGGTGAATGTTCTTGCAATGTTATTACCATTAAAGGGTAACAATATTTTCATCGTACTTGTTTTCACTTTATGCTGTCATAATAGGAGTCGGAGAATTCTGCTGAAAGCATGAAAGAATTGATTAGAGATAAAGATATCCAAATTAGAGATAAAGATATCCAAATTATGGAGTTGAAAAAGGAGCTGGAGGCTGTAAAGTATTGTTCATGCAAGAGCTCTCCAATAACTGAAGATGACTCTGTTAACCATGATGATTCTGCATCATCTGGTCAAGCTGCTCAGAGTTTGGTTTCTGTATCAAATCAACCTGACCTGGGATCTTATGATGCTTCAAAAGATAATTTGCATGTAAGCAAAAGAAACTTGAATACACAAAACTTGATTCATCTGTTATTTTGGAACTTTAATGGCCTTCATTTATCTCCTTGGTTATTCGGGAAATCAAGGATGGTTGGTACCAGGATATGCTAAAAATTCATACGAAAGGCCACACCCTTGGCTGCAGCCAAGGGAACTTATTTTTAAAAGTATAGTTATTATTCTTTTGGAACATGGAATGTTACTATCAGCTCATATTCTTATTTTTCCTTTTTTTTGTAATATCTTCTTTTCTCTATCTAGCATCTATTGCTTGTGTCCAAGTCAGAAGCAGTTCCTTTGCTATGCTGGCATCTCATTGTTTTCTAAAATGCAGTCAGCTGTACATTTTTAAGCTATACCATTGTCAGAAGAGTATTCAGATACATTAGGGCTTCCTTGATATGATCTTGTAAATTACAAGATAAACCAATAATTAACCCCCCTCTTACAGGTAGAAGCACAAGAATTGACATGCTGTGGTCCTCAAAATTCTTCAGCTCCTTGTATCCTGAAAGGTTAAGTCTGTTCACTGTAAATGTGCCAGAAGCAACATTTTAAAATGGTTGTTTCTAGTCCTGAATTAATTTTCTCTTTGTGTGACAGGGGAATCTGACAGTTGTGATGCTTCGTCTGTTTCTTTGATAGATGAACAAGTGTGCTCCAGAGATTTTAAGGTTGATGCTTACCTTGTGTATTTGACTGTTTTCTGCACCCACTTGAGCAAAGTGTTATCAATTTCACGTATCTACTTGTAGTGATGCAACCTAATATTGTAAAATGATGCTTCAGTTTGTACTGATATGCATTACAATGCTTTTTTAGCCAGAGAAGTCATGCCATCTTAATGTTTTTTGTTCAAAGTTTGACATAGAAAAAAGAGGTACCAAGGTTGCTCCTCTTTCTAAATGCATATTTAGTGTTTTTTTACCAGTAACAGCCTACCCAGCGTGCTTGGATAGTAGGCTTTATTGCTATTGTTTTGCTATTAGCACTTGTGGGTTGTGGCAAGAATTTTCATTAGAGTTCACTAGACCAAATATACATTGGAAATAATAGTAACATATTATCTTTACCTTTTTCCTGTTCTTTTAGGTAGAGCTACAAGTGTTTCGTAAGGAATTGGATAGATCTGAAAGTTTTACTGTGTCAGTACCTGCACACACTGGTGGTGCAATGCCTGCATCTAGCTATTCAGATCAAAGCTTGACAGGTATCTCATATTTCTATACTTTTATTTTTTTTTCTAAATAATTTTACATGGTAATCTGCAGGAAGTTAGGAGTTGTATTTCTTGTTCTGTAGAGACTGGACTCCCTCTTAAAAGATGATTAAATCTTTCATAAGGAAAACCTGTTTGATTGAGTTTTCATGAATTTTACTAGGCAAAAGATCATCAGGGGTATACTTTAATTTTCTGCAGAAGATGATGCACTTCTGTGCCTGAACACTGAAAAAACCAGGCTATCTCCACATTGCACTACCAGTAGCAAGACAGCTACTATAGGGCAAAGTGAAGAAGAAACGGAAGAGTTGAGCAAGGATAAGGATATTCAACATATTAATATAAGAGGTGAAGAGCTTTTTAATCTTTTATTGAATGATTTCTTTCTCTGATGCAATTTTGTGACGATTTTGTTGGATCTTTGAATAGAAGAGAAGCATCCTGAATCTCGGAGCTCTTCACAGCAAGTGATCTTTGACACAGAAGGTACCAGCTCCAGTGAGTCATCTCCACAGTGTACTACTAGTAGCAAGACAGCTACCATAGGGCAAAGTGAAGAAGAAACGGAAGAGTTGAGCAAGGATAAGGATATTCAACATATTAATATAAGAGGTGAAGAGCTTTTTAATCTTTTATTGAATGATTTCTTTCTCTGATGCAATTTTGTGACGATTTTATTGGATCTTTGAATAGAAGAGAAGCATCCTGAATCTCGGAGCTCTTCACAGCAAGTGATGTTTGACACAGAAGGTACCAGCTCCAGTGAGTCATCCTTGCTTGGAACGGTAAGGAATGAATTTATTTATTCCATTATTCTCAGCCACTGCCCAAATTAGCTTGAGGGTGGTCTACAACAATGTTCCTGTATTGTTCTCAAGTTGAGTTGTCCATCTTATTTCTGTAGCCAAGTCAGCTGTATCATGAATGTCGTTGTTAGGAAACTTGACAAACCGGTTATACTTGTTTAGGTTGCTTCTGAAATGAAGCTTGAGGAACTGAACCAGAAATCTGAAAGATGTGAACCCGCTGTAGAAAAGGCTACCGTGGAACTGGAGCATGGTATAGACTGTGGTCAAGCTCCAGACCAAAAGCGTGATCATGCCCCAGCGAAAGCTGCAAAGGTTTGAAGTACTTTGTTTGCCTTGAATGTATCACTGGAATTATACACAGCTTAGAAGTTGTGCTGGGAATATATTTTCTTATACAGCTGTGTTGCTTGCGATTCTGCCCCCCTAGGCTCCAAGCAAGTGCAGGGAGGCAGATGAAACTGCAGATACAAATAAGGAAGCTTTTGGGTCTAGGCCTGGCAGTATGAAGAAAACCAGGAGGTGAATGCACGATTATGTTGTGTGTACAAGTAGAAACATATATGGTGATCGTGCAACAACTAATTGGTCTCGGGGTTTGGTTGAGCAGGAGGTTACAGCCAGCTGCCGCTATGTTGCTCAGGGAATTCACTGGCGCTGACATTGATGCGGATAACGAAATGGTACGTATGTATGCATGTATACTGAAAATGGCAGCAGAAGTTTTGGAATGCACATATAGGTCGGGTTTGCTTGTTGACTTGGGCCGCGGTTGGTGGTGATTACAGGAAGAAAGATGCAGGTCATCATCCATATCTAGGGTGCCAACCGGGAGATCAGATGCACTTGTGCAACTTCTGATGAAAGGCCGTCCAGGCGGTCCAGTCCGTAGAGCATAGTGTAGCTTCATGATGTGGTGAAGCTAAAGCTAACTATAGAGGAGGCACCGCATGACACGGCACATTATTTTGCAGCAGTTCGTTGACAGATGAAAAAAAAGCCATGTTGTGTTGTGTTTAGGCCGGTCCAGGATCTGTCTCCCTCGCCTGCTAGTAGTACGTAGTAACCAGCGGCATGGGTTTGATGTGAGTACGTGAGCATGGTGGTTTGTAGAAAGGTGTTTGCTGCACTTGCACTTGATCTATGTGTATAATACTCCTGTGGTAGTCTTCTTGTGGATGTGAACAATTAGTACCTATTAGCGACTCTAAATCTGCAAATGAACTATGTGTGCGTCAGTACTGAGTACTGTCTCTTTTTTTCCCCTTCCGAGAGCGTGTCCTTGTGAGATCCGGTCGTCTCGAGCAATTGTTTAGGCAATCTTCTTGAGCATTGAACACAGTAGATGCTAAAATGTCAGGAATTGTGCTTGTCTTCTTAAACCATACAACCCATCATTCAAAAGAGCAGTGAACTACTAGTCTACTAGTATGTTTAAAGACTTGCATACTTTTATTGCGCTTTTTTATTACATGAGTAAGTCTTTAAAATGTTTTAATTAATTACGAAAAATTCGCTGTCTCAATAAGCGGATTTTTTTGGGAATACTCCATAAGCGGAATTTAATCGTCGGTAGTGGTGTAGTTTTGCAATTTTCTATAATACAAAAGAATTTAAATAAAAAAATAAAAAAAATCTGCTGGAGAGGATTCTGACCACGAGAGCCCTGACGATCCTGACCAGCAGTTGCTGGGCTGGGTGTCTGTGTCTCACTCTCTTCTCTGGCGTCTCCGTCGTGCTCCTCCTGACCTCCTCCTCCTCCCTTTCATCGAAGAGGCTTTTACATGTGTGCCATTAAAAAAGTTTGTAATTACACACAAATCATTAAAAAAGTTGACCGCAGACAGGTGTCATAGCTCTAAACTTGCCTTACACGCCATTCCGTCCATGTTCTGTTTGTTTTTCGCCGTTTGGTAGCCCTTACAGGTGGGACCGGTCAGTAAAATTGTCCATATTGCCCTTTGACAGTGAAAACCATGTTGATTGTCCTCCTTATCTTCTTCCCACGACCCAGACGCTCCTATGCACCGCAACGCTCCCTCTCTCGTCGAGATCATCACCGGTGGTTCACCCTGCGCCCCGCACCTCCAGACCTCGGCCCGCCCCCCGCCCCCAGCGCCTCCGGCACCCAGACCAAATGCGACCCGGCCACCCGACGGCTTAGCCCCACGCCCGGCCCAGCACCGCCCACACCCTCGGCGGCGACGGCTGGCCCCCACGCCCCGCCACCACAAGACGCTTCCAGTTCCCCACGCCGCCAGCGTGCCCGTGCCGCCCACACAACAATTCCCCTTCCCCACCGACCGACCGCGACTTCGGCCGACGACCTCCCAGGTGGTCGTGTGGCGAACCCCGACGGCCCATGATCTCTCGCCTCGAGCCCAGCTCTCCCAATGGCCGTGGCTCAGTGCTCCAACGGCTTGTCGTCGTCCCCCGATGAACCATCGATTTGAGCGGCGAAGCAGCGCAGCGCGATGCGTCTCGGGGCGGCGCGCTTCATGCAAGCAGCGGCGAAGGCAGCGCCATGGACGCCGCAAGGAGGCGAAGGTGCATGAGGAGGAGGAGCAGAGTAGGAAGGCGAAGGGAGCGCGAGGACGAGCGGCAGCTGGCGCCGCAGACGTCGCGAGGAGGCGAGAGGCGCGAGGCGGCACGACGACGGCTTACCTTGGCGCAGGGCCGAGGGGAGAAGAAGTCGTCGGGGAGGAAGCCGCCAACCTCACGTCGTCATCCGTGTCCTCGGCGTCGAAAGCGGCCGAAGCCGCCAGCAGTACTCATGAGTCGGCGGATCGCGGAAGGGCGGGGAGGCAGACATCAGGCGCCACCACTCGAGGGAGAAGTCCTCCACCTCCTGCTCCAGCGCCGCCTCCGCCGTCTGCTGTAGACCGCGGTACCGCACCCCGGAAGGCACGAAGGGCTCTGTACTAGTATCGATGTTGTAGTTCCAAACTCTGATAAGCGGGGCAGGCAGGCAGAGGATGGACGGCCACCGCCTAAGAGCATTGTGGACAATTTCACTAAGCGGTCCTATCTGTAAGGACTACCAAACGACGAAAAATAAATAGAACATGGACGGAATGGCGTGTAAGATAAAAAAAAGTTTAGAGCAGTGACACATATCTACGATCAATTTTTTTAATAACTTATGTATAATTACAAACTTTTTTAATGGCACACATGTAAAAGCCTCGTCATCGAAGGGTGGAATCCATTCAACAAGGAAGTCAAAAGGAACGAGGGGAAGCAAGCAAAAATCCCCAATTCCTTCCAGATCGACCCACCGCCGGCGAATCCAATCCAGGAGCTGTCGCTTGGAATTGGATTCATGCGCATCCGCCCGCTGCCGCTGCCGCTGGCCGCCGCCTAGTCTCGGCCGGCCGGCCGACCGGCCGCCCTCCTCGCGCGCGCGCCCTGCCTTGTATGGAAACACGCAGCAGCAGTCGCAAGCGCGCAGCGGCCGCCGCCTCCTCGTCCGCCTCCAAGCGCCCCCGCCGCAACTCCTCCGCCTCCTCCTCCTCAGCGCCGCCGCCCCAGCAGCCACTGATGGAACCCTCGCCCTCCTCCCGCCGCCGCTCCCGCGCCGCCGCCGCCGCCGACAAGGGCAAGGACCCCGACCCCTCCTCCTCCGACCACCCTTCTCCCCCCGCCCCCGACGATGACGCCGACGTCCCCTTCCCCCAGTCCTTCACCTCCGCCAGCACCGCCCTCCAGGGTCTCCTCCGCAGGCTCGGTGCCGGCCTCGACGACCTCCTCCTCCTCCTCCTCCTCAGCGCCCTCCTCCGCCACGTCCGGTCACCTCAAGAGGATCCTCGCCGGCCTGCAGGCGCACGGCGACGAGTCGCGCCAGCTCCAGTCCCTCATGCAGCTCTGCGAGATGCTCTCCATCGGCACCGAGGACTCGCTCGCCGCCTTCCCCGTCGACGCCTTCGTCCCAATCCTCGTCGGGATGCTCGGCCGCGAGGACGAGCCTGCCACCGCTGGTGCCAGCCCCGACGTCATGCTGCTCGCTGCGCGGGCACTCGCCAACCTCGTTGATGTGCTCCCCTCCTCCTGCTCCGCGGTCGTGCACTACGGGGCCATACAGTGCTTCTGTGCTCGACTGCTCACCATAGAGTACATGGACCTCGCCGAGCAGGTGGTGCCTTTCCTTCTTTTTTCGCTCTATATGATCAGTCATCCTCATTATCTAAAAAAAAAATGATCAAGGTGCTGCTAACACATTTACTTTACTCGCCTTCTCAGTCTCTACAAGCCCTTAAGAAGATCTCTCTGGAGCACCCAACCGCCTGTTTGCGAGCTGGTGCGCTAATGGCTGTTCTATCGTATCTTGACTTCTTCTCCACTGGGGTTCAGGTTGAGTCCTCTGATCTTCTTTCAGCCATTCTTGTCTTGTGCACGGTTTGCATCTACTTACACCTCTTCCCATGGGGGCACATGTTTGTTGTAGAGGGTAGCCTTGTCTACGGCCGCAAATATTTGCAGGAAGCTGCCGTCCGATGCTTCTGAGTTTGTCATGGAAGCTGTCCCATTGCTCACGAATCTCCTAAATCACCACGATTCCAAGGTACTTTTCAAGCTCAGATAGTCAGACCTCTGCATTATGATATGACTTATCGAGGTATATCATGTATTTCCCAACCCTTTGTTTATGTGCCCTACAGGTACTAGAGCATGCTTCTGTTTGTTTGACACGCATTGCTGAAGCTTTTGCCCATTACCCCGACAAACTTGATGAACTCTGCAATCATGGATTAGTTGCTCAAGCTGCTAGCTTGATATCTGTTGGCAACTCCTCTGGCCAGGCATCACTGAGTACATCCACATATACAGTATGCACCAATTTGTTCTTGATACCCTTCTAGTGTTTGCCATGGCCCCTCTCACACTTGTGCTAAAATTTGGTTGCACACTTTTTCAGGGCTTAATCCGTCTTCTCTCAATATGTGCAAGTGGATCCCTGCTGGCAGTTAAAACACTGCTTCTTCTTGGGATCAGCGGCACTCTTAAAGACATCCTTTCTGGCTCTGATTTGATTTCTGGAGCATCAGTCTCCCCTGCTGTAACAAGGCCTGCCGATCAGGTGCATATTTCTATCACTGACTTAGGACTTGACTATTCTGCTAGAGCTGTCTCACTGAGTCACCAGGTCGCGGGTTCGAAGCAGCCTCTCCGCAGATTTTGCGGGGGGAAGGCTTGCCTCGGTTTTTCCCTTCCCCAGACACCACTCATGTGGGAGCCTCCGGCACTGGGTCTGCCCCTTTATTGGTGGTATCAATAAAAATCTGATTTATCAGTGAAAAATTAGGCTTTGACATCTCATGCTTTCTAAAATTACATCTACCACACATACTTAGACAGCCTTTTTGAACTCTAAAGGCAACATCACATGTTCATAATTATAGAGTTAAATGCATCAGTGGCCCCTAAACATGTCAAGGGGTGCCACTTAGGTCCATTAACTTTGAAAACATATTTCTAGGTCCGTAAACTTATTAAGTGGTGCACCACACATCCCTAAACTTGTAAAACGATGCACTACAGGTCCATTTCTGGACCATACCAACCACTTTGGTGCACCAATTAACAAGTTTAGGGACCTAGAAATGTGTTTTCAAAGTTCGTGGACCTAAGTGGCATCCCTTGACAAGTTCAGGGGCCACTGATGCATTTAACTCATATGTACCATCGAGCAATTGTTTGGGCGATTTTCTTGAGCATTGAACATAGATGCTAAAATGTTGGGAATTGTGCTTGCCTTCTTAAGCCATACAAACAATCATTCAAAAGAGTAGTGAACTAGTATGTTCAAAGACTTGCATACTTTTATTGCGCTTTTTTATTGCCTGAGTAAGTCTTTTGAAATGTTCTAATTTTAATGAAGCAGGAGGTGTTGGTTTATGGC